CTGGTAAAGTTTCAATCAGAATCGGGCGTAACAGTGGAAAGCTTCCTTACCGTGTTGGATCTCTATTTAAAGTCAACAGTCCTGGAATACAATAATCGAAAATACATCCAGAAATAAGGTGTATGCATAGGCTCGTCGGTCGCTCCGTTGTTAGCTGAGATATACCTCAACAATTGGATGGAGTGTTGTTTGACAGGCAGGTTGAGTTGTCACCTAACGTGGGCTTCATCAGAAGATATGTAGATGATTTTTTTGTCTGTACGTTTAAAGAAGGAAAATCGGATTATCTTGAAAAGCTTTTTAGGTCAACGGCCCCGGAGTTGCATTTCACGGTAGAAGAACCAGAGGATAACATGTTGCAGTTTTTGGACTTGGGAATTCAGGTGAAAAATGGCTGATGTTGGGAATATGGTAAGAAGATGGCTAAACCGGTGCTTCCCAAACGAAGTTGCCACTCTAAAATTGTTAAGGCGTGAGTTGCGAAATCATTAATTGGTAATGCGCTGAAAAGGTCATGTACCCATTTCATTAGTCAAACTTTAAAAAGACAATGGGGAAGACTGGAGGTCGACGCGGGGTAGGAGGAAACTTTTTTTAAAACGACAACCTTCTATTCAAATCAGGGACAAGCGGGATGAACCGAGTGTGAGGAACCGACGAGTTGCTATACCGTATTTTCACGGTATTTTTCATAACATAAAAGCGACGGCGAAAACGTTTCGCGTAGAAACAGTGTTCACATCTTTGAAGTTATGCAAACTTACACCTTTTGAATCGAAACAGAAAGTTTGCCAGAAGGCACATCGCGAAAAGTCGGTACCGTGTGAGAATTCGGTGGTTTATGAGATTCCTTTGGAGTGTGGATTTAAATACGTAAGTCAGACGTCGAGATGTCTAAATGATAGACTGACGGAACACAAACGGAATGTGAAAAACAACGCGTCCAATTCCGAGTTAGCCAGGCACCTTCTAGAGTGTAATAACTGTAAAGCCAACCAGGCACTTTCTAGAGTGTAATAATTGTAAAACCAACTGGTCTGAAACGGAAGTAATTCACAAAGAACGTAATGATATGAAACGTATAGTTCAAGAAACGATTCGTATAAAAACGTCTGGCAACTGTATAAGTCAGGCGTCATTGCAGTTTGGAAAGGAATGTAAACAATGTTTACGCTTGTCAAGGTTTTTTTGTTTTCTTTTGTACTAGCGGTGTTTATATGTGTATCCTTGGACTCGTTCGAGAAAGTCACAGTGTTTAGCCAATTGTGGCTCGTTGTAGAAGGGCAATGTTGTTCTCAGTTTTGGAGATGGCCTCAGTTCCGGCTGTTAGCAGTGACTAGTATTTTTTTTTTGGACTAAGTGAGTTGTTAGAGGAAACGCAACTTTGAAGGTCAAACCCTTTCTTTGCGTTCATTTGTGATTCACCTACGTTCGCCGGGTGGCGGTGGTTACGCTAGAATGTGACCCTTTGTGTGAGTGTTTCGCAGCCGAGGTGAAGGGAGATAAAATAAGGTTTACCCAAATTTCATTCTCCTCTTGTCATATATATATATATATATTTTTTTTTTTTTGTAGAGACGGCGTTGGACATGTGGTAAATAAGGCGTGTACGAAATAAGGTTTGCAGCTGAGTTTGAGACGTTGCCTCCTCTTTTTCTACCTTCTGTTGTGTTCTCTTTTCTGCCCCAGTCCCAGGTTTACAATCATGTTCAACGTACACCAGCTCGCCTGCACTCTGACTGTTCTTTTGTGCAAATAGTGACCGCTGGTGATCAAATCTTCAAGGTTGTTCTGGGAGAAGGCGAAAAGAGGTAACCAAGGAGGACAGATATAGCATTTTTGAACTGACTTAACTCATAACGAACAAATAAGGAACAATGGTCTAAGCGGGTATGCTGTTTCGGGATATGGCGATATGGGAAGAGGTGAAATGCGTAGGTCGTTTTTATACAGGTCGGAACAGGGAGGCACAAACGAGAAAATTGAAATGGGAATGGGTCGAAACGGGAACCACCCCTCCATGCACGCTTAATTTTAATGGAAGCTTAGCTCACACCAGGATTCTTTCGAACCCCATGGACCGCCTCTGTTAAGTCGTTTTCCTCTGGTGATCAACGTAAATGTTTGGATTTTCGGCGGCACTCAATCATTTGCGACGGCGTCCGCCGTTGAAAATTTTAAGGGTGTTGTTTGCATTTTGTTTTTAAAAAAAGTGTTACACCTCAAAATATAACAAGCTAGCGTAACAAAGCATGTAATACGTGTAAAATAGCGAATTTGAACTCACTAAGAACGGACTTCACAGTATCAATCATATAATCAACATTGCTATTTCAGCAACCTCATATTTTCTTTTCCAGGGAGCACCAACACCTACGGCCTACAAACTTATGACCTATAAAGCGATACGTTGTTCTTTCACGGACAGCCAGATTACTTCAAAATTCACTCACCCAACCAGAACCATGGAAAACAGCAAACAGAACCCGATACGGGTAGAGCAGATTGACAGCCAAGTGTTTAGTAATGTGAATATATTGACTAAGTCACATGTTGTGAAATTAATATGTCGACTAATGCTCACATGGTGTGCGCGCCCAACATGTCCACAAACTGTTACGCAACATGTTATGATGTCGCCATAGCAAGAAACGAACACTCCGTGCATGTTAAAAAAGATAAGGGGCATTTGTGTTTACGAATTTCATTTTTAAGCATTGGTCTAAAATTCTAAACACCGAACAAGTGCCTTGTCCCATAAAAATGAAACTATGCTATCCACGTCGGTTGACTAAACTCTTTAACGTCTCCTAACACTCACTTCATACAATATTAGGCTGACCCCCAAACTAGAACGTTGAACTAAAAGAAAACGTTTGCAACATTGAAGTTAGAAAATTATGACTTTATAAAAGTGGAGTCATTATTAGAATCCGCTAAATAAAATTTGACCATTTAAATATAAAATCCGGCAAGTTCTTTTAATAATTATCCTATCGCTTTTATGTTCCTTTGCCGGAAAGCCCCACCTAAGCGCGAAACACATTTAATTGGAAGAAACTGTGCCCCGCAGGTCAACGTACGTAACATTTATTTTTGTGTCTTCGTACCCCAGTCAACACCTCATCAACGAAGCGCTGCTGGTTATTCAAAACAGAAATATATTCAGCAGCAAACCAACTAGTTTCCAAGCACATAAAACAAAAAACTACGGAAGTGGAGCATCCACTGCACCTGCGGATATAGTGGGTGTATGTTTTTCGTCGAAAACTCACATAGAGCAGGTTGCAAAATTTTGTTTCTGTTTTCACGCGTATATGGCCCAACCGAAAACAATCTAGATCGTCGAGAACACAACGTGGACATGCGTACTCTCCGCTACATGTTGCAGCGGACATTTCTGACCTGAATACGCGTTACCGTAAACTGACAACACTCTCATTCGTAAGCCGTAGCATATAATGAAATCAAATTGGTAATTTGACACTGAACGTACTTCAAAACTGCACTGACCACTGCAGGGTAAGTGTTAATATTACAGCTACTACGTAATTTGGTTAACTGAAACTAGGAGCGTAGAAGTCTCCTGAGAAATCGCCATTGCCAGGTCGTTGTCTTCGACAACTTTCCCTGATGCTTTCGCGAAAGTAATTTGAATTACGTGAAACCTCTAAAAATATGCTGGGTTAACCTTCGTCCACTGACTTTTAGGTTATAACTTAAGCTTTAAAGGAGCCATGCAAAGATTTTCGAACTTTTCCCCCTTGGCAGTGGAAATTACTCTCTCATGCTTGAAGAGTGAAGAACAGAAAACAATGTTTACTTGTGTGCGCTAGCTTATATTTAACAATAATTAAAAAAACTGAACTTGAGATTCTGCTCAACTTTTACACCGTCTTCCGAGTCGCCTGTGCCGTGACATGAACACGGATGATAGGAGCTTCCGATTGTGTTCTCGAACACGCTCACGAACTCTCATTCTCCTTCTGTGGTCCGGATGTTTTCGCCTCAAATCAAAACACCTTTAAAGCTCCAGTTCAATCACGTCAGAACACCAGACCTAGTTGGCATCGCAGATAATCGCAAATGGTACCCGATCTCAGGAGAGAAGGAAAATTTACGCAGTAAACGTGATTTTGCTAGTTCGCCACAAAAGCAGCTGAGATTATGTGTTTCGTTGACTTTCCGTTTATGGCGCCACAGACAGCCGATCAAACTGTCTGTGACAATAAAAGTACCTTTACTCATTTAATTTAGTGTAGACGACAAAAAACGTAAAAAGACTACGTTTAATCTGAGCAGATATTTCACAACTTACTCATTCACTACACTTGTTCTCGTAATGACATCACGGGGTGGTTTCCATGGCCGCCGAACGCGGCTTTAGTTTGGCAAATACTCAGATATTTGCTTTGAAATAACAGGGTGGACTAACGCTTTTTCCAAGAAGATTCTGCATGTTTTTTTCTCCTTTTACATGGACTATGTTAAAAAAATTAAAGTAACACGCTGCACATTATTTTAATGTTAGAATTGTTCACCGCCCGTTGAAGAGCTTAATACACATTTGCGATTTTTTTTCGCTGAATCAAGGGGCGATTTTTAAAAACGTGTAATCCGTGTTATAATTTTAAAGCTAAATTAACAGTCACATAATTACATTACATTCTACATTTTTCTTGGCAGAAGAAATAATCGAACTATGTGTTGCTCGAGCTACGGTGATTGTTCTTGCCATTACCTTTATCTGGCAATTCAAAAACGTAATCTCCTAACAGATCGTAGATATTTAGATGTCAGCAACTGCTATTCCCTCAGTGAAGTTACTTGGAGCTCATCCTAAGAAATATAATTGTATACCTTTCAAGCAAACCGAATTGTAGATTTACGTGGACGACAAAACTGCGGTTGACGTTTTGTTTCTCTCTAGTTTTGCAGTGAACAATATGACGGAAGATGAACCCCAAGTCCAAAGGATTCCTGAAAATACCGATGATATAATGGATCGCAGTTGGCATGTGCCATTTCTTGGAGCCTTGGTGACCTTTTTCTCGTCATCGTTGTACAGGCTATCAGGCCTTCTTTTCGTGGAAATTATGGAAGAGTTTAGCGTGAACCGGGAGCAGGCTTCGTGGCCCGTGAATATGATGTCAAGCGGTTACGACATGGGTGGTAAGAAATGTTGCAGTTAGCATACTTACTTACAATTATCATTGCAATATAGCTAGCTTACAACATTATGTTAAGAAATGGCGACACAAAATCTGCATCATATAACTCAATTCTTTGAGCCCTATCATTAATGTTGCTAACCCCTAGCTCAATTCATGAGTGATGATATTGTGAGCTCATACTAGATATGTGGCATTTTACGCAGAACCTACCCTTAAAACCACAGCTTTGAGATTTTAAAGTGATGGCATACAGTTAGCGTCAAAGTTTCTGTAACTCATTATTTTTTAATATTAGTTCTAATATAACCACGTACTTTTACTTATGACGTACCTAGACATAATAAATCTTGTACCTCGATCGAGTCCATGTCAGATTTCATAGAAAACCTCAAACTCCTGAGGGTTCTACTGTCATCAGTTAATTTAAACCGACACGATCGCTCATACCGGAGCTTCTGTAAGAGCAACATCGAATTTTATCTCTAGGTTTTTAGGCAAAAGCCATACCAAGCCAAGCCAGATAGTAGAATGGGTTGACAAATCATTTTATCTTACTATTTATTCCAATGACCAGGTCTGCTGTATGGTCTACTTTCCCAGTGTCTAAGCTTACTTCAGACGGCCTTCATTGGAGCCTTGCTAACATCACTGGGAGTCATTACCTCTGTCTTCGTGTCGAACATTTGGTGGATGACTTTTACCTTGGGTTTGGTGCACGGTAAGAGCGAACTAATATTTTGCATTTTCCTTTCTACTTTCTACTTTCTGGCTGTCAAACGTCATCATGATTAGAAAGTTTTAGTAATGGGCATAGGAGCAAACGCAAGCACCGTTTGTTTGCGTCATCGTTGCGGGCTTTACATTGCGCATGCGCCACACGTACGCTACGCAGCGAGCTATATGCGTACATGCGCTCGATATGGCGTTTTGCGTGCTTAGGAAGCGGTGCAAATCCAATACGAGTCTCGCGCGCGGAAAGCGCGAGGCTCGCGTTGGCTGACCTGTAGGCTGACCGAATATTGGTCCTAGATTGCTCGGAGCAGTTCACATGTGTACATCTTGATGGCGCTGTAGCTGCAACCGTATACGTTCGCGTCCCGCTGCAATAAAATTACTGGTTTTGATGCGCTCCTCTGCGTTCCACTGAGAGCCTGCGTGCGTCGTACGCAGTGATAACGCAAGGACCTTTACTCCATTCTAAAACTCTGATATTTCAAGAACTAGCTACTGACGACTTGAGAAACGCAAAAGGGCGCGGCTCATTTTGTTACGCAACTTACCTCGCGATTTCTGAAGCGGCTGTTATGGACTGTGGGGATAAGGAAGCTCCCTCGAACTCGACGCATACAACGCCCGCGGGTGGGAATGCTCGTCCTCGTCCCATAACTCTAAAAGAAGTCTGTCCGTCTACTTTCCTGCACAACACTCTGAGAGCCAATCACCGCAACTTACGGAGGCAGCTCAGCGAATGACGATGCCGCAACATAAGTTTGGACCATAAACAACGTCTGAGTTGTGACATTAAGCAATGCAAAACGTCACGTTAGCATTGCTTAATGTCACTTTTTTTTGGTCTAAGCATACGTTTCGGCTTCGTCATTTGCTGAGCTGCCCCCTTAAGTTGCAGTGATTGGCTCTCCGAGTGTTGTGCGTGAAAGTAGATCCACAGACATTTTTTAGAGTGTATAATGAATGCCCTGAGCTCTCACAACACTTCGTTTCATATTAAGCCCGACCACAACCAACGATAAGATTCGAAGAAATCACAGCGATGGCGTCTGCACTCTAAAAAAAGTCTGTGCATCTACTTTCACGCACAACACTCGGAGAGCCAATCAGCGCAACTTACGGAGGCAGCTCAGCGAATGACGATGCCGAACGATATGTTTAGACCAAAAAACGCAGTCTGAGTTGTGACATTATGCAATGCAAGCGTGACGTTTTCCATTGCTTCATGTCACAACTCAGACTGCGTTTTTCGGTCTAAACATATGTTTCGGCAACGTCATTCGCTGAGCTGACTCCGTAAGTTGCGCTGATTGGCTCTCCGAGTTTTGTGCGAGAAAGTAGACGCACTGACCTTTTTTTACAGTGTGTCGATCAATCAGCGCCAAAAAATGCATCGTCATGGCGCTCATCCTTTTTTTTAGTCAGTTATTACCGACTCAAACGAATCACGGACAGTGAGCGCGCCGCGATTCTGTGTTTTTTTATGCGTGATTGTTTTAGCTGATGATATCAAACCCACGAAAACAACGATCGCCGCGACGAAGCACTTTTGGCGTTACTTCATAGGCTCCATGGGGTCAAACGCAAGAGTAAGATCCCATCCTTTAGACCCCGCCCTTCTTTGGTATGTGTGACTTAATTTTTCTCCGAGAGTGACAAGGCACAGTCGCCCAATTTTTCAATAATATCACGCGAGCGTCGACCGCACGGACGGCCAGCGCTGTGCCGCGGAGAAATGCGGCGTCAGGGGAGAGATTAGACGCGTGCACACAAAGCTCTCTCCGGTGCGAGCGTCGTCTGCTAGGCTATTCTGTTGACCGTACACAGACCCTGTTCCTTATCTGCTGACATAGCTGACTGCCTTTAAGCAAAGATCTGAACAGCGGTTGCTTGCGTGATACCGTGATATATATCTATTTATCTCTCTCTCTCTCGCTATATATATATGGGTGGTTTCATCTCAAATCGTGCAGGCAAAAAGGGTCGAATTTTTAATTTCGATGAAAAAAATATATGTTATGGCGCCGTTTTTGAAAACGCAGTCGCCGCAGACCGCAAGTTCGTCGGATTTTTTGTTCGCGACTTATGAATTTTTAAAGAGGCCGCGGCGAAAAGCAGTGTTTTTCACACCCGTCGTGGGTCGGATGTTTCGCTTGATCTCCCGCCGTGGATTTTCAGTCCACATTATATTATCTTTTTTAAAGCACTCTGTGGACACATTTAAAAGGCACCAATACCATAAAATAATTTTAGGCGTTTTGCTTTTTTTCTGTAAAAATGTCAAAAACGCCCCCTCGGTCAATTGTTGACGAACTTTGACAATTAATTACTGGCGATCTACTTCGGTTACATCAATACTTTTTATGTCCACGGAGAGCCCAAAACACGTTCTTTATATGTATTATAAAATAACTTGGCTGTATAAAATATTCTTTGCGGTACGTTTACGTTAATGTTATGTGAAAACCAAAAAGTACAATTTTTGAAATTGATTTTCTCAAAAAACCCATTTTTTATTTTTTTTATTTTTTGTTAAAATGTAGATGTGATAGTTTTCTATGCGAAAATCAAGTCTAGAAAGTGTATATTTTGTTTGTATGTTTTATATTTAAGCATCAATATCGTACAAAAACATGTTTTTACGGCACGAAATGGACTTACGAATTGCGCGTCTTCACAAGCTTGGAAATAGTTTTTTTTATTTTTTTCAACGTTCCCATATAAAAATGAAATACAGTATTTCCACCCTGTTATATTTATTGATTATTTAAGTTTTATTATAGGCGGCACGCTACATTGGGAGGAGTTCCAAAAAGAGAAAGCAACACTTCTTAACAGACCAGCAGGTGTCGTAAATTTTTAACGTGTAGGAGTCGGCAGACGTCGTATTGATTCGGGGCCCTCATTGGCCTGCATGAACGTCCCGCCCTTTCGGAGCCAGCGGATGACCACGACCTTTCGCGCTCGTTGTGTTAGATGGGACGGCCCGTGACAGTAAAGCGAGCAGCTCACCCTGTGTCACGAGGAGTGAAATGGTACGATTGTGTCGTTGACGCGGCGAACAGTGACAGCCACCCAGGAGGAGTCAGTCAGAGTATTGCACAAGGGAAAGCAAAGGAATCGTTGCCTGAAAGGATGAGGACACCATGGCCTTACAATATCGACGGTCAACAACTGTTCTGCCAGCCAAAACAACGCCGCGTGCGCGCTAAAACCGGCGGCGCGGGACAGAAATCCCACAGACGCACCCACGAAGATGGGCCGGTTTCGTTAGGGATGTGGGGAAATTTGAAACCAGCCATCCGTGCATGCGTGAAACGATACCGCCTGTTTGCCCCAGCTTCGAGCGCCCTATCCTTACCTTGAAACGGCCGTGCTGTCTCTCTCTCTCCGGGGAGATCCGATAGCACCGAAGGGTTATCTATTAAACTTGAGGAAGAAAACGAGAAGGGGCTGTTTAAGTTTAATTATCCCCACCAACCCGCTCATTCTGTCCTTATAAAGGGCTATCTCTTTTGGAAACAGCAAAGCCCGGAGACTGACATTAAAACGAGCGTGTTGGTAAATATACTTGTGTTTGTATTTTGCCCGGAGACTAGTTGGGTCGAAGTCAGCCTCCTTGTCAACTATAACCGTTTGTGAAGAGTGGGCTTCTCCCGAGATGAAAAGTCAGCGCCGGCTGACGTGCTCTTTTGAAAAAGGGATGGGGAAAGAGAAAGTTTGAGTAACTGCAGAAACTACCTCGAAAGCTCCTCTCCCGATATGAAGCTTCAGGCATAGTCTCGGTTACCTTCTCGCGCATCGCCTGCTCGAATCTATTCTTCACTTTCTTTCGCACAGCCACTGTTCCGCACAGCCGTCGTAGATGTGCGTAACAGAGGGAAAAACAGATTCGAGCATCATATGGACGCCGTCATCCTGCCAGACTTCAGTGTCGTGGGACCGACTCGTGTGTGTTTCTTCGCCCCGCTGAACTTAGTTTCTCGGGTGCGTTTTTGAACGTTTTTTTTTTCAATGTTTTCTTACTAACTGTTTGTTAGCACTGTTCAGTTGTTGGGTTTATTTTTTCATGGCGTAGCGGCCTAGGCGGTGATGTAGAGAGCGTGTTCGCACGCATTTGGTTGCGTCCCATTTAGGGAATGCCCGGAGGAGTTGGTTTATCTTCTTGCCATGTGCGGCTGAGTTTTCCCGTCTTTATTAAATTATTGATTTTTTTTTTGTTTTACCTTTACGTGCTGTCGACTTCTTTGTCTGACTCTCCACCAGGCGTGGACCTATCGTCTAGCCACCACTCCAACCTAAATACTTTATTTTTTAACGCAATTTTCGTTAAGATCGCAGCTGGGCAATTTAATTCCTATTTATTTATTTTTATTTCCTACCCCTCTCCATGACACACTCTCTGTGTGTTGCGGACCGTTTCTGTGTCACCACTTTTGTGTATTACGGAAGTGAAAGGACATTCCCTGGTGACCTGTGCGATGTGCGGTGAACAAACCCCCAGTGTTTGGTTTCGGAAAGAATTGTATATAACATATCGACGGATGTGGTGACTTTCTTTGTCTCAGTAATATGACAGCTATTAGCTAGTCGTGCTAGTTTACTGTGAAAGGTTTATAAATCGAAACAATACAACGTCTGTGCCTTTTGGTTATTCAAAGTCTACTAGGCCTGCTGATTTGGTTAGATATGTATCTCGTGGTTCCCGCTCTTATCAAAACATACATAAATATTCAATACCACGAAATTCGTTTATAATTGATTACAAAATGCAGAAGAAAATTCAAGAAAACTTTTTCACAATTCATAGAGACGCATGGGTCGGAATGTCTGACTTGGGTCTTGCAAAACAAAGACGTTTTTTTTCCGATATTGAGGCCTAAATATAAAACATACAAACAAAATATACACTTTCTAGACTTTATTTTCGCGTAGAAAACTATCACATCTACATTTTAACAAAAAATAAAAAAAAATAAAAAATGGGTT